CATGATGAATCTGATCACATACACAATCCTCTCAACCAAAATGTCAATTTCTACGTGTGAAATTACCGTTTTGCCATCGTCCATGAGAAGAGGGGATTCACATAAACGAAGGAAGAGCTGTTTGTTTGAAAACGTAGACAAAGAATGATCGATCATAAGACGTAAATCTGAAGGAAGAAACTTCTCCCAAGCGGCGTCGGAATCGGCAGCGAAGCGAAGTGCTTTGGACACGGCGGAGATACGGCAAGCGTCGTGTGGTGTGGTGTGGTGTAAGAAATCACAGCGGCGATACATTCTTCAGGTAAATCAAGAAAATGCATCATCATTATCGCCCTTGTAACTACATCAAATTAGCAGAATTGAGTTTAAAGAAAATGTTTTTTTTGGGCATAGTTTTACAAACCTATTCTTTAAAGCTTTATTCTTTAAAGCATATGAATAAGCTTTAAAGAATAGGTTTTTTTGGTTCTTAATTAGCATCCAGTCGAAATCGTTGTAGCGCCTGACTAATTTTAGGGTAATCAGATTGATTGGCAGAAGTTTTTTCGCTAGTCCACTACATTTAAACATATAGATTCCGAGAAAAATCGAATTTAAAGAAAAACGAGTTTACGTTTTACGCATTAGGCAAAATATTTTTCGTTATAATTATAAATGCAAGATACATGATGCATGATGTACCTTGAATATAAAATAAACAAAAGCTTTTTATTTAGAATCACATATTATTATGTTAGAACATATAGTTCTTATGGCGAGAACGAAATTCCAGACTTCATTCAACCAATTTAATGCCGGCACACCTTCTCGTTAAATCAATCCAACTTCTTCGTCGGGCAAAATTAGCGGCTTTGGACAAACAAGAAAAACGGCTCTCCTCTGAATTGTCGAATCCGTTACCACCATATCATGAAAGCTTCATCTTCACATGGTTCAAATTCATCCAAAGGTAACAGGTCCTAACGTCACTTGCTGGTTCATAGTTTCGTCCTCACCACCATCTATTTGCTGCACATGAGAAATTTCAACTTTTATTGTTGTTTTTATTCCCAATTTTCCTTTTCTTTCTTCAGTTGTAACTTCTAAACGATGTCCCGTTAAGAGGGAAAAGATAAGGAATATAGTACTATTT